GCACATAGTAAAAAAAATACATTAGTCCAGGGGTATGAGAGCCTTGGGGTTTTCTATAGGATCTATGACCTCTCCACCTATGTATATTTGGCTAGGTTTACAGTACCAGACATGAGTTTCCTCCCATTGAGTGGGTTTTAAGCCCAGTTAGGTAGCTGTTGATTACCCCCAAGATAAAAGTGCCACCACTACCCCAATGTCATTTGCTGTGCTGGCCATTGATGTGGTTTTTAGGCCTTGAATAGCCCCTCACTAGGACGTTCTTAATCTTCAAGGCTCACATCTGGAATACGGTCAGGTGGAGAAGGAATCAGCACCTGTAGCACCCACTCAGATATGCAGGATGTAGTGTGGATTCTTTCCTACCCACCCTCCACATGACTGGGGGTGCCTTGCATTTAATGAAGAGGGGCACCTTGGTTCCCACTACCCACTGGCTGACCCACCACCGAGGGAGAAATATAGCTAAGATGAGGAGAGGGGCTGGAAGGAAATGCTATCTCTATCATAGAAGACCAATGGAAATTAAATTTGTTACTGACTGTCTTGTATAAGATCTAACAAAGTAAGCTAGATCTTTAGCCCATCTTTTAATTGGGTCATTTGCTTTCTTGCTTTTTTGTTTTGTTGTTGTTGTTTTGAGTTCTTTATATATTTTGGATGTTAAACCTCTGTCAGATGTGTCACTGGTGAAGATTTTTTCCCATTCTGTGGGTTTTCTCTTTCTTGATTGTTTCTTTTGCTGTACAGAAGCTTTTTAGTTTAATGAGGTCCCACTTGTTGATTGTTGACCTTAATTCCTGAGCAAATGGTGTCTAATTTAGAAAGTCCTTTCCTACATCTGTATCTTGAAGGTTACTGCCAATGTTTTCCTCTGATAGTTTCAGAGTTTCCAGTTTCACATTGGGGTCTTTGATCTGTTAGGAGTTGACTTTTGTGCAATGTGAAAGATAAGAATCTAGTTTCATTATTCTACAGCTGGAGATCCAATTTTGCCAGGACTATTTGTTGAAGATGTTCTTTCCTCCATTTGTTCTTGGCACCTTTGTCAAATATCAGGTGGCTGAAATTGCATATACTCAGGTTTGAGTCTTCAATGATTTCAACAAGATTATTGTGGAGTCCATTTCAGAGCAGTAATAAACTAGGGAAACCCTCTCCCCAAAAGCCATTTCTACTACCATACCCAAGTGCCTTTCATACAGAGGCAGGGAGCTGGTGGACCCCAGGGGAGAACCTGCACTTTAAGATCTGTCTGGATAAAGTAAGAACTGATTTACACTTATCTGGGAAGTTAATCTGAGCAGAACAGCTCATTCCTTGGCTGTGCTGGCTGGAAGAGAACTCAGTGGAAGTTGGTGTTGTGCAGCTGGGAGCAGAGGGTGACACAGTCAGGCTTTGAAGCCTGGACCTGCACCAGGACATGACATGAGCTAGGACAAGCCACTCCTTGCTTTGAATGCCATATTTCTGGGTGAGGAGCAGGAAACTGTGCTGACTTTTGCTACATGTTCTGGGTATATGAGGAGCCACTGCACTTCTGGCTTGCTCTTTGCTCAGATACAGTGGCCAGGGTTAGAACCAACAAAACAGATTCAGGCAGCTTTATTGTGAGGTCCCATATAATTGCAGGAAGGAACCTCTGGAATGCCAGAGTGACTGTAAGGGCAGAGACATTTGGTATTCACCCACCTTCACCTGGAGGCATCCTGTGCTCACCTACCCTCCCCCATGGTGACATGCCCTGAAAAACTGCCCTCAAATTCATCACGATTGAGGATACGGCTCAGCAATAGAACGCTTGCCCCAGCATGCACAGGTCCCTGGGTTCCATCCTTAGCCCTGCAAGAAACAAAACAGAACAACAAAATTATTGAGTCACTTAAAAAAAAAAAACAAAACTGCTTGACCAACAGCAAACTGGATGTCTTTAACTCTCTGCTCCAGAATCCAGTGGTATCCAGGGACAGGAAAAGGCCCCTTTCCAAGGGGACAGCTATGATGTGGTGTCTTGGCCTTCACATCAGACACTGGAACTTGGCCCTGTGACTTTGGGGAGTCCTGAGAGCTGTGTTCCCACCCTTTCAGCTAGGCAGGGTGGAGGTGTGCCAAGAGAAGTGAACTCATGGTGTATGGAAAGCGGGCCTGAGACCACCAGGCAGAGGTCAGAGGCCATGGGCAAAGGGAGCCTAGCATCAGAGTTTGGTAAACTTCAGATGTCTTTGATGGCATGCTTTCTCAGTAAACACAGACACATACAAAATACAAGTCTGTGTCTCCCAAAGACACACAAATTATAAATTACACACATATCACTGTGCTAATGTTATATACAGTATAAGGCAAACAAAATAGCTACTTGAAGGATAAGGAAAAGACCCACCACCCAATGAATCCTCTTACACCCCACTCTAGGTAAGCCTGGGATGGTGTAAAGGGACTGGGTGCTGAAGAGGGCCGGTAGAACAGCAAGGAAAATAAAGTGCCTAACACAGGGTTAGCACTACCTCCCTGTGATGCCACAGCCAAGTAATGCCTGACTGCTGGCTACCCAGTAGTTTTCTATGAATGGACTCACTTGTTTGTTTCTTAAATTTAGCCTCATTCTAAACAATCATGTGCACAAAAAAAGTTGGCTTTCTGTGCAACTTGAATTGTTTGCTAATGCCAATTAAGATAAATGCAAATCACCCAGAGAGAACACTTGCCTACATACCACCTTGAAGATGACTTGTTGGCTCCCAACTGTGTGATGGGGCCTACCCTTTGGGAGAACTTGATCTGTAATCTGGCTTCAGAATAGGTGAGGAAGGCAGAGTGCTCCCCAGAGTGAGCCTCCAAAGGCCCTGGTCTTATGGGGATATATGTACGGTGTGCTCCTTCATGTCAGAGACTGGCTACAGATGCATCATGCTACCAGAGTCCAGGGATAGTAGGATGACACCTCCCTACAAGAGCATTTCGTGGCAGGTCAATTGCAGACTGTTGGGCTATGGACTACCCCTACCACATGCTGTAGCTGCTACAACCCATTGCTGCTGCCACAACTTCCTGGGTTGCGCTGGACCTAGACAGTGATCCATTTGCACATTCAAGAGGTTCATGCTGTGCACCTGCTCTGTGCCAAGCACTGGGCTAGTGCTGGGGAGGCAGGAAGAAAGAACAAAACAAGGTAGCTGTGCTTATGAAGCCTACGGCCTAGTTGAGGAAGGCCAACAGCAAGCAAGCAAAACAACAGAATATAAATGCAGGTGGCTAGAGATGCCATGGAGTTGAAACAAGGTGAAAAAGAGAGAAAGAACACATTTCCTTTGTAGAATTCCAAATAATTTATGCAGATAGGATTGGGGGTATGGTTCAGTGGCAGGGTGTTTTGCCTAGCATGCTCAAAGCCCTGGGTCTGAGCTCTAGCACTTCAAACAACAGCAACAGCAAAAATAATGTATGCAGGAAATGGAACCTAACTCCTCATTCTTTACATCTGTCCTTAGTGACATCCTTCACAGAGTATGGCATGGAAGGAGAAAGAGTAGCTTGACTGGGAAGAAACCTGGTATTAGCATGGCTAGTAGAGAACTGACACCCTGTCCCAGGTTTGTCAGTATGTCACAAGAAGGGCACCCCTCTGTCGTCTTCAGAAAATAATCAGACCAACTCCAGCTCTGGGAGTCCTCAAAATGTCTGACCAGGGCCCCCACACTGCCAATATCATTAAAATCAAGGAAAGTCTGAAAAACTATCACAGCTCAGCAGAGCCTCAGCATGATGACTTGCTATAACAGGATCCTGGAACAGAAAAAGGACATTGAGGAAAGGAGTGAAATCTGAACAAATTTTGCAGTTTAGTTAGTATATATCTGAAAATACTTAAGAAGAAAAACAGGTGGAGAGTGACCAGGGCATCTCCAAGGAGGTGACATTTGAGCTGAGCCTTGGAGGATGTAAGTGAGTCATATCCGCATCTGAAGGGGAAAAAAAAAGTCTTGGGGAAGAAGCAGCTTAGGCTATTTGAGAGCCAGCAAGAAGCCAGAGTGGGGAGCCAGCAAGGCAGAGAAGGCCAGAAGGTGAGATCAGAGGCAGATAAGGCCAAGCGTGGGAGGCCTTAGACCATGGTGTGGATTGTTTGGATTTCATCCTGAGTGTGAGGAGAAGCCATTGGGACTTTTGAACAGAAGAGGGGCATTAGCTAATTTCCACTTAAGATCACTTGGATTTGTGTGGAGAGTGAATAATGAGGGCAGAAGGGAAAGTAGAGGCCAGTTAGGCGACCTGTATGTGCCAACAGATACCTGTATGTGACAGGGGAGCTGTGGCCAGCCCAGGGGAATCCAGCACCTGCTTTCCAAGGGCTGCCTGAGAAAGTCTTCACCCACATGATAATGACTCTGATGACATCTGGAGGCATAGTCTCTGTCTTGAATTCTAGGTGTTTCTCTTTAGAGTCCTTAATGTCTAAAAATAAAAATGCACACTGTGCTTAAGTAGGTTACTATAAGTTGCTCTTCCATAATTGGGAAAAACCCAAATGAGGTTTCTAATCTGTCTCTGCCTTCCAGAAGCTGTGAGTGGAAAGGGAGGCACATGGCCTCCATCCTGTCAAAGCTGTTTCTGAAGTGTAAAGAGCTTCAGAGGAGCTCCAATGAGTTAGGTCAGGACTTACTAGCCACATGTGGCTCCTGAGCCACCTCCAGCCCTTTGGGAAGGGTGGTAACAGTCGAGTGAAGTTTCTTAAAATCATGAAATAAAAATAAATGATTGCCCTGTGCATTTTGTTGTATAAGTCAGGGCTCACTGTCTTGGTGTTGCCCAGATGGATGGAGAGAACAGTCTGGCCCAGTCTGGTTTTTGCCTCCATGTTGCTCATGTCCAGGTCCTGCTGTTGAGCACATGCTTGATGTGTCTGGGGTAGTTCATACATGCTTTGTCTACAACTTGAGTATGCCTGGGAGTCCCAGTCCAAGGTGTAGGCTGTTCTCACCAATCTCCATGTTCACTTCCAGAGATTGAGATGGTGATCATGGAGCGCAGCAAGCTCTTGGAGCTGACCGCTGGCACCTCAGTACAGGAACAGAACACCACAGACGAGGAGAAGAGTGCTGCCGCCACGAGTTCTGAGAGTGCACAGTGGACCAGGTAGGTGCCCAGGGTACTACTGGGCAGCCACTCAGGCTGGGAGGTTGAGCGTATGGTCAGGACTTCCTCCTGCCCACTAATGACTGTGCAGTTTCCCTTTGTTCTTTCTCTCTGCTCCAGCCTTGGTCCACCCACAGGCACCAGCTCTTGAGGGGCACAAGGGCAGAGCTGGCCTGCAACACTTCTTCATCTTCACCCTTTAGAAAGATGGCCAGGACAGGTCACCAATACCCAGGAGTGCTTGGCAGCTAGGTTGGGCCCAAAGGCTTGGGCCATGCCTCGCAAGGCTGCTCCCAGGATGGTTCCCTGGCGGGTGTTGAGACTCCCACTTCATCCCCTCACTACCGTGCATGCCTTTATCTGGAGGGTCCATGGCATAGAACCACCACAATACACTGCCGCCGTCCACCCTAGGCTCTTGCCCGGACATTCATCTCCAGGATAGCCTATGAAGCTGATCTCAAACTTCTTGATACACATTTCCTGCAGCCTTGCTGAGGCTCACCTATGCAGCATGGAGTTGCTTCCAGAATCAGTAGTGAGCTGTTAGGGACATCTTCATTTCAGAGTTGTTTCCTCACCTATTAAGTTGTCCTACCACACAGGCCCCAGCAACAGCTTTCTGGAGATACATCTTAGTGTTAATGTTAACACAGGCATGGAGATACAGCTTCTCTGTCTCCCTGTGGGACATTGGCTTCTTGATACCTCAAGGTGAGGCCAGGAACACAATGCCCCTTCCATTCATGAGCCCAACTTAAAGAGAAGCACTGAAGTCCACTTATTTTCAGGTGATGCAGGACCTCTATCACACTAGGCAAGTAAGTGCTCTGTGACTGCACTACATTTCCAACTCTTGTTTTTCTTCTTTGTTTGGCAAATGTTTCCGTTGTCTAACAGAGGGGATTAATTTGTATCACATGTGCAAGAGAGTTTTTAGTTTTTGTTAACTAAAAAACATTTGCTCACATGTATAGTCTGTCATTTGTAACCTGTAAGGAAACTTTTTATTTTGTTTAACAACAACAACAACAAACTGTAACTCCTGAGCTCTGAAAATGAAGGAAGTCATTCTAAGCACAGAAAAGACAGTCAGATGCCTGGCCCAGCATTAGTTAGAATATGAATAATTGGAAAAACCACAAATGACGAACAGTAGAGGATGCTTAAACAAATGAAGACGTATGTGCTTAAAGAACACTAGCTGCTCCTTTATGTGACTATGTGATGATGTGTTCAGGTTATTAGGATCAAATACACGGAAATATCGTGATATAATATATTATAGCTTTGTGAAAGTAAAAAAAAAAATCTGTGGTTCCCCCCACCATAAGAAAGAGATCAAGATGTTATGTTTGATTATTGGGGTCGATAACTTCTTTTTTCCCGAATTTTAGAGAACAGGGGTTTTTCTTAGAGTTCATTGAGGTTCCTTTTAACCTTAGATGACTAACTGGTGGCTTTGACCGCGGCTTTCTAATTAGTGGAAGGTGACTCGTGTGTCTGATGTTAGGCAGCCAGCACGTCTGGACCCAGGTCCCTGCTTGTTCCTGAAACTAAGGCCAGGGAAAAAGCTGGTCAAGAAGACAGGTGCATCTCCTGAGCCACAGTACCTGAGACTGACAGCACCTCTAGCTTCCATTTCCTAGCACTGAGTCTGGGAATCATGAAAGGGTGAAGGCAGATGGCCATTTGTTTACCAGGACATCAGGACCTTGACATCAATCTACTTGTTAAAGAAACTGGAATTACTCTGCTAGTCCCTGAACAAGGCCCTGCCTGCTCTCAGGTTAAGTACAGACAAAAAAACAAACAAAAGAAGCCAACCTTTTTTTTTTTTTTTTTTTTTTTTTTTGAGACAGGGTCTTACTATCTAGCCCTGGCTAGCCTAGAACTCATTATGTAGACCAGCCAAGCTGGCCTCAAACTCACAAAGATCTGCTTGCCTCTGCCTCCTGAGTGCTGGGATTAAAGGCATGTTGACACCAGTCTCAGGTCAACAAACAACCTTTAAAAGACAGGTGGTAGCCTATCCTCAGGCCTCTCCGGGTGGGTCCATCGCGGAGCCTTCCACGCATTGACTCCCCCAGCCTCATTCGCCCTTCCATCTCCACTGCTGTTCTCTGCTCCTGGTTTGGGCCCTGCGCCATTCCTGGTCTTGGGTCCCCAGACACCTGGGGAACTGGTGCTGCTTCCTGATGTTTTTCGACCGGGCCAGCTTGGTGCCTTCCTTGGGCCCCAGGAGCACTGCTTCCACAGGACCTGGCCCCACCCTCACCTCTCCCTCCCAGACCTGCAACACTGGCTAACTCTCCTGGCCCATTCTCCCGCCCTCAGGCCTTTCTGGGGGTAAGTCTACCTTGCAGCCCTCCACGCCTTGACTCCACCAGCCATGCTCACCATTCCATCTCCCCCGCTGTTCTCTACTCCTAGCTTGGGCCCTGTGCCATTCCTAGTCTTGGGGCCCCAGACACCTGGGGAGCCACTGCTGATTCCTGACCCTGTTCACCGCCACAGGCTTGGTGCCTTCCTTGGGCCCCAGGAGCACTGCTTCCACAGGACCTGGCCCCACCCTCACCTCTCCCT